AGGGAGGCCCCCATTTACATTTTTTATGTGACCAGGTGATTTTTTTTTTGAGCCATGTGTTTAGAAATGTTTTTCTTGTTTGCTTTATAAAATTTTACTGGCATACACACTCTAATAAAGCAGTTTATGGCTAGACGTTTTCAATTTAAAAACTGGAGGTTTTTTTAAAAAAAACTTATTTTTGTTGTGTTTAGCTTACTTATACTGTAGTTACAGAATATGTTCTGTATAATTTCAGTCATATAAATGCCTGAATATTTGCTTGATGACTTTGGATGTGTAAATTCTTGTTAGTGTCCCCTGTATGCTTGATAAGATTGTTTATTCTGCAGTTGTTGAGTATGGTGTTCTGTGTGTACCCACTAGGTCAACTGTGCTAATTATAATGTTCAAATACATAAAAAACCAAAGCACTATTTAATAACACTTTCTGTGATGATGGACATACTCTCTATTTTGTACCATCCAGTGTGGTAAACTGTCAGCCTCGTGGGTATTGAGCACTTGAACTCTGACTAGTGTGACTAGGGACTGAACCTTTACTTTTATTTAATTAATTTACATTTAATGGCTTTTTTATTGGACAACACAGTCCTAAATCAAGCCTGAATTTATTTTGGTTTGAATGCTCTATCAGTTACTGAGAAGGGTGTTAAAATCTTCCGTAACTAGTGGTGAGCTGTCTTGAAAATATCTTTATTTTAACTTTTATTCTTTTGAACAGGCACTGTTTTAAGAGTTTTGTAAATAGTGATAATTTCCGTGTCTTGGATTTTTCATTAAAATATGCTGCTCATATTTTGAGATTGTCTTTTTTCCTTAAGTACAGAGGGTAAACACTTATTTTAGTCTGATAATTCCATGAGCTCAAGTGTGTTTTTCTTGCTGGTCCTTCCTTCTTGTCTCTCCTTGTGTGTCTGGTCATCTTTTCACAGTGCATTCACAATTGTGTTTGAAAAATTATTTGTAGGAGTAATTTGAGGCCTAAGGTCTCCAGAGACTTCTTGGGTTGGGTGCCTGTGGACACCATTTTTTTTTTAAGTTTTTTTTTTTAATATTTTATATAATTCTTACATCATTTTTCATTTTTGCACAATGTGTGCATTTTCATTTTGGCTATATTCCCCCTACAATTGCACCCCCCCCCTTATTTTGACCCTAATTCTTCCTCTCCCCACCCCTCCCCCCACGCCGTAGTGTGTCTCTGGTTTATAGTTGCTTGTTGATTTTGATTTTTACTTTGTATTAATTAGTCTTTTTCCTGGTCCCTTATTTAGGTTTTCTAAATTCCTGCTATGAGTGAGACCATCCGGTATTTTTCTTTTTCTTTCTGACTTATTTCACTGAGCATGATCCCTTCTAGCTCCATCCATGTTGCTGTAAACTGCATGAGTTTATCTTTTTTGATTGCTGAGTAATATTCCATTGTGTATATGTACCACATCTTCTTGATCCAGTCATCTATTTTTGGGCATTTGGGTTGTTTCCATAGCAAAAAATGGGTAGAAGAGCTAAAAAGAAACTTCTCCAAAGAGGAAATACAAATGGCCAATGGGCATATGAAAAAAATGTTCAGCATCACTTGCAATCAGGAAAATGCAAATCAAAACTACCATGAGATACCATCTTACACCAGTGAGAATGGCACATGTTTAAAAAAACTAGCAACAACAAATGCTGGTGAGGATGTGGAGAAAAAGGAACTCTCCTGCACTGCTGGTGGGAGTGCAAACTGGTCCAACCACTATGGAGAGCTGTGTGGAGATTTCTTGACCTACTAAACATAGAGCTTCCATATGATCCAGCAATTCCACTCCTAGGTATTTACCCAAATGACACAGAAACAGTAATTCCAAAGGGCTCCTGCACCCCTATGTTTATAGCAGCACTATTGACACCATCCATTTTTAATGTCTGCCCTTTCAGCTACCCATGACGGGGAGGGTTTGTGCAGTATTCCAGCACTGCCAGAATTGGGGGTCTCCTTTCCATTCATTCTGAAACCTGTAGTGACCTCGCTCCCACCTTTCCTCACCACCCCTGAGTTGCCTGGCTGCCAAATGTTAGTCCTTACCTCATCCTACCAACCTCTCTGTAGCATTTGTCGTTGTTAATTGTTCTTTCCTTTTCTTCAGCTCTCCTCAGCTTCTCTCCTGATTAGTTTTGCTAATTTTCTAGCTGTTCATATCTCCCTCTTTACTCTCCTTCCTCTGCCTGTCTGCTTATGAAATGATGGTGTCCCGAGGGGCCTGGCTTTGCTCTTCTTTCCTCCAACTCTGTGTTTCTTCTGTGACCTGATCCACAACCCAGCTTTACTTCCTACCTGCTTGCTCACAACCTGAACCCCATATTGAGGGGCCAGCTGCTGTCTGCTTGGTTGTTCCAGGAACATCTCACACACGAGGTGACAAGCGTCCTTTCATCCTCTGTGGCCTTCTCAGAGGATAGCGTGGCCATCCTCTCCATTGGAGACATAGAGTCCCCTTTGCCTCCCAGTGCCTGTGCTATATCCCTCGTCTGGACACAACACAGGTGCCTCAGCACCACCCCCACTGGTCTCATCAGTTCATATGTGCCCAGGTGAGGCTGAGCACCTGCCAGGCTGGGTGGGCATTATTCTGATTCTATTTCATCTCTCCACCCCTTCTAGCATTTTCAGTTCACCCCTGGACTCTACTACTTTTTCCTAGATGGCCTTTTTGCCCTTATCTCTTTGATCTAACTCATGCTTCACATTTGTAGCTCAAAGTCTTTCCTAAGAAGCTCTGTCATTTTCACCTTAAAATCCTGCAGTAATTCTTCATTTTTAGGATACCGTTCAAGCTTCTTGAGTTTGGCATGGACTGCCTTGGCCTCTCTAATGTTGCCTTCCCCATGCCTTTACCCAGACTCCATGCATCTGCCATTTTGAACTATTAGTATTCCCTCTTCTCTCCTGGCCTTTCAACAGGCCATCCCCTCTTCCTGGGATTCCCTTTTCTAGCTTCTTCCTGGCTAGCTTCAGCTTGTCCTTTAAACTAGATCATTATTTAAACTTTTGGGACAGGCTTCCTTCAGAGATCTGGGTTAGACACTCATGGGGTGGGAGAGGAAGAAGCAAGGGGAATGACTCAACAAAGAGGATTTAGGTTCTTTTCTCCCCTTAGAATCATGATGACACAAGTCTTGGCCCCCATTCCGTTTCCCTTTGTCTTGGTCCAGAATAGCTCCTGTGCTTTCCTAGAAGCAGGGAGGGCAAGAGTACAAGCTGGGATGCCCCACTCAGAAATGTTTGAGCAATGAATGGATTTAGGTTCTCGTGATAAAGAAGATTTGAATCTCACATCCTGAACAGCTCAAGGGCTTGGCTTAGACCGGGAGCCCAGTGGCATGGATTGCTGAATCCCAGGGTTGCCAAAGGGTGTCTGTTCCTTAAAGTGTCTAGTGTAAAGGAAGCAAGTTGGTAGAATCAAGGCCATTGCTAAAGACAAATAACAGGTGATCTATCAAGGCTTCTTACATGAACGTGCACTGTGTCTGGACTGCCTCTGCAGGGCGCGTTCAACTTTAAAGGGAACTTGGTCATAGATAAAAGAAGATTAAAAGCTAAAAGCTGCAGGGGACAAGAATATGTCCTAAAGAGGTAATGAGGTTTCAGAATGTCAGTCTATAAAATCATTGCCTAGAGCCAAATCCTGAAGCATGTGGAGCAAGGGAGTCCTTAAGACCTGCACAACTGGGGGTCTCCACGGTGGCGCAGCGGTTGAGCGCTGGGTTGCGAAACTGCCCGCGGCCTCTGCGGCGCCGGTTCGATCCCCGGCTGCTCCCCGGCCACCGGAGGAGGGTCCCACATGGCGCGCAGACCTCTCCTGCCGCCCGCTGCTCCCCTCAGCAGTGTACTTCAGTCCTTCTGCCTGCTCTGCTCCCCACTCTGGCTCTGGTGAATTCTCTCACCCTCCTGCACTTCTGGCTGTACCCAGTGCATGTATAAACAAACAAACAAACAAACAAATAAATAAATAAATAAAACATGCATCTATTAAAAAAAAAAAAAAGACCTGCACAACTGGGATGAGGGGTGCACACTGGATACATAAAGAATTCTTATCCATGTGTAAGTTCAGGCTGAAATGAAACACAGACTCACAAAGAGTTTAAACAAAATAATATAACTTTTACAAAAAATAAAGGATTTATAAAAGTGATAAATGGCAAAATCATAAAAGGCAAATAAGGGAAATGGATGTGTCTGGTGTGTGCAATCTTGGCAGCTGACATTCAGGTCAGGCGGCCCCATTTGCCAGCAGTTTCCCCAGCTCTGCTGACAGACTTGTCGGTGTTGGGCCGGGGTTTGTGTGGTCATTGCTGATGTGAGTGTTGGAGGCCCCCTAAAAACAGAAGCTCTCATCTCCACTCTTCATACTGGGGTCCATGCTCTGCACCAAGTGAGCAACTATGGAAACCACTCCCTGTTGTGATTGAGAGCCTTTCAAATTAAAGTCCCTGGCTATGGGCATGCATCTCCATGAGGAGCATTTCTTGTAATCATGGAACATCAGAAAGAAACGGAATTCTGCAACTTGAGTGACTTAAAAACCAACCTTTTGCAGCTCCTGCATGATCAGCAGAAATCCAGATCTTTCCCAGAAGCAGGGCATTAAGATGATTGAACTTACCTGGAGGGTTGTAGCCATGTCCATTAGGCTGTGGTGCACTTTCTGGCTTTTAATATTTAATGGGGATGCTTAATCTCAGACTATGAGTAAAGGTGGTTGCTTTTGAGTAGGTTTAGTTCAGTTTTGGTGTATTTGTTTTTGATTTTAAATATGGACTAGACTGAACATTATTATGCTAATTTGTTTCTGCTTTTTTACTTTAAGCGAAACTTGGGAATTGAGCAATATGTGAAAATGTTACTGAATTAAGCATTGAAGTTTTTTTTTCAACACAGTTATTCAAATAATTATATGTAAAGCTGATTTTAAAGCACATTCATCTTGTCTTATCTCTTCTTTCAGAAGCACTGCCAGCAACGGATGTAAAAGAAAAACCTGAGCAACAGATCAGAACAAAAGAGACTGACAAGTTACCCAAGGGGACCCAACCCCAACAACAACGTGCCTTATTTGCTAGAGGAAGCAGAAAAACAGTCCAAAGTCCTCAAAGATCATCAAGTAAAATAAAAGAAAAGCATCCGTTTGCTCTTTATGGGTGGGGAGAAAAACAGACTAATACAGGAAGCCAAAAAACTCACAACGTGTGTGCGTCCGCCCCGGTGCATGAGGTGGGTGTGCGCCCTGCTCTTCTGCTTTCCCTGCAGCAGGGCCGGCTCTGCTCTGTCCTTGGGTGTCATGTCCTGCATCACTGGGCTGCTCTGGGATCATGGTGCATCTTAGGGGATGACAAGGTGGGCCAAGGAAAGCCCTCAACTGGGCATCTGAAGGGCAAACAGGGTCCTGAATGTTGGCTGCTTGGAGGTCAGAAGCTCGCTCGGAGTCAGCTAGAGGGTTGATTGACACTGAGCCAGGTGAAGCAGTCACTGGGGTTAGGGTTCTCAAGTTCCTGAAGTGGGGGCAGGAGGGGCATGGGAGGGGGGCATGGCCGTGACTAAGCTGCCATCTACATTTGCCAGGACCCGCTTGAGGAGCTTCAGGCTCTCTTTGAAGGTGGCGTTTCCTTGACTCCTTTGTTACCGTTTCCCTGTTTGCTTTGCCTGTAGTTCTTGCATCTCCTGCAGGCTCCCTTTTGCTTTTGGATTAGATCTGAGCGGTTATGTTTTCTCCTGCTCATCCACCCCTGATGCCTTTTATTCCTCGCACCTCTAGCTCTCCTCTGACTTATCCTTGGCTTGTCCCTGTGTGACATGCTGAGAATATGTCAGATGAGACAGTCCTCACATGTTGAACCACACAGCAATTATGTACATTGGTGTTAATACCATTACTATGGACCAAGGCAAACAGAAGGAGAAAGTGCCGATTGTTTGAATGGGATTAAATGCCATAATCACAATTTTACTGAGCAGATTTCTGTACCCTTAGCAGATGGTGTTATTTGGAGTGATATTTGAGATAACAAAGCTGTAGTTTAACAAAAGACCCCTGGAGACTCCATGGGATTAAGTTTCACAGGGTTTATCTGTAGTAAGAAACATTTTTAGGTGGTAAAATCCCTTGAGTTTTTTTTTAATTTAAATTTTATTTTTATATTCCCCATACAATTACAACCCCCTTATTTTGACCCTAATCCCTCCTTTCCCCGCCCCCACCCCCCATAGAGTGTCTCTGGTTCATAGTTGTTTGCTGATTTTGATATTTTCTTTCTTATAGTTATTCTTTTTCCTGGTCCCTTATTTAAGTTTTCTAGATTCCTGCTATGAGTGAGACCATTCGGTATTTTTCTTTTTCTTTCTGGCTTATTTCGCTGAGCATGATCCCTTCCAGCTCCATTCCATGTTGCTGCAAATCCCTTGAGTTTTTTTCATTGTTTTGCTGTAAAACATCTCAGTGTTGCATTTGATGGGATGCTTACCCATGCTCAGTGCTAAGTGGTTCCAATAATTTCCTAGAGCCAGTTTCTAAAGGAACATGCAAGTTAGTGACTTGCCATTTATATCTACAATTTGGGCTGGTAGACACTTTCTGTTGCTTAGGTGCTTTGTCACCAAGAATGGGTGAACCATAAAACCCCAGGGGAGGCTGTTCTGATAGAAGAATCCACAAGACTGGGTTCCTTCTGCTTGGCTTCAGGTGACCTGCAGGTGAATATTGACTATTTAGTTCAAAAGTCATTACATTTTTATTTTTGAACTGTCTTTAAGATTCACGAATCAGCTTTACGGGCCAAGAACAGAAGACAGGTGGAAAAAAGGAGACTGGTTGCCCACAGGCAGCGAGCCCATTCTGTGGATGTGGAGAAGAACAGAAAGGTAAAGGCTTCCTCCTCAGAGAACCCATGGATGACAGAGTACATGAGATGCTACTCAGCAAGAGCTTAAAGGAAGCAGCAGTTGCCTGGACAGCATTTTTTTTTTTAGAAAGTACAAAGGAAAGGAAAACAAAAACCATCAAAAGAAACTGGACACAGATTAAGAAACCAGCTGATGAAACGAGGTTTTTCTTAGGGAATTTACAAAAGATTGTTCTATTTTGATGAATCCTGGTCACCTACCTCAGCAGTAGGGCGATGGTTGAAGCCATAGACATTTGGTTATTTATGAAGATAATTCCCTAAATCTTTGATAATCTTATAAGGATTTTGTTTTAAAGCATCTTAATCTTTTCAGATAACTGACACCAAATGCCTTTAAATGGCTAGAGATGCTTGACTTTCAGTATTCTTAAGTTTAGGCAGAGCCTGTTCTCATCCTATTCTGAAAAACTTTTCAGATTCCATACCAGTAATCATTCCCCCTTGCAGCATAAACTTCCTCATGTGCAGTTTTCTTTGTGAGAGAATATTCAGTCACAAGTGAGTTTTACACTAATATTCCATGTGTAGTGAAACTAGAACTTTGGTAGTTCTTGAAAATCTAACTTGTATTTCAGTTCAGCACTTCATTTCGACTATGATATTTAAGATTATCTGTGCTGGGTAGGGTTATCGTCTCTCTTGAAATGATCATCTAGGCACTTATTATTTAATAATTTAATAGTTCAGATGCATTCCAATAAATGAAGTGCTAGTGCAGTGTGTGTAGAGTAGTCCTGATGTTTCTTTGGAGCCCAAGACTGCCACTTTTTTTTTTATTACAAGATTGTCTTTAGAACTTGGTGGAGGATCGGTCACTCAGCTGTAGACTGGCCTTTGGGTGCGCATGCCTGGCGGACTTCTGCCTCTCCTGACGTAGTTGGCAATGTCATTTAGAACTTATTCTCTGAAATTTCATATACTAAATTGAGATTGTCTTGCTCATTGGGGGTAGGAGGCAAATATTAAGATACCCATAAGAGATGTAACTCACTACTTTTTTCAGCACTTGCTAATCACAAAGCCGGATGATGTACATTCATCAGACTTTAGGTGGAAATCCGTTACTCCTGGATTCCCAGCCAGTAGGTTTTTATTGAATTTAGTGAGAGAGAATGAATGATGGTTTGTGTGCAGGTACAAATGTAAGTGTGCAAATGGCATGATCTCTCTCTTCAGTGTATTGGTTTTTGGGGTAGAGAGCAGCCTTAGGAATCACTGTTTTCTTAAGGAACAAAGCTGGTATTTGCAGGAAGGGTGAGTGCTCCTTTCTTCATATGAGAGAAGAGTGGCACTTTGCTTGCTTAGCACCTGGAGATGTGTGAATGAGAATTTGGTGTTGGGTATGAGGATGAACATTTCCTTGATATTTGTACTCTGGGTCATTGAAGTATTATGGTCTGTTTTTAGAACACAAATGTGTTTTATTCCACATAAAATCTTCACATCGTATCATACAACTGTATTAAGCTTTGAAAACTCATCCTGAAGAAATAAGAGTTTTTTTTAAAAGGACTTTTTAAAGATCTGCATTAATATGAGGTGAATTGAGCTCTTCTGATCTCTGAGGTGTGTATTTAATAAGGGGAAGTTCTATAACTTGTCCACAGTAACCTTGCTAGGGATTCTGGTGAATTACGCTGTGATTGTTAATACATTCCTTAAACATTGCAGGTATCTAAAGGTCAGATTAATGTGGCAATTGTGAAGGTGTCACTGATTGTGAAAATTGTTCCTTGCAAAGCACTTCTTGTATGTCAAGGTTTAGCCATCAGTTCGGGTGTTCATGTTGCAGCTGACAATCTTAGGGAAGAGAGCCTGGGGGAGTAGCTTTGGCCCCTTGCTGACGGACCGCCTTAGAAACTCAACTTCCTCTAGACTCTGCACAAGCCAGACTCTCTCCTTTCGAAAACATTTCACTTTTAATGTGCTTACCACTGAAAACTCCAGATGGAGATCAAATCTAGAAGGCAATATTGGCCACTTTCCTCATTTTTTAGTAGAGGACAAACAAGATTTCTAAAGTGCTTTTAATGTGCATGAATAATGAATAAATCCATTGTGAGCCCACTCCTATGTCGGAGTCTAGTTAGTTACGGTTTCTTTTCTTATTTTTTTAGGGGTGAAAATTACCTTTTGAGCTTATACAATTTTTAAATTTGTAACAATTTGATGGTCCTACTCTTTCTCATTTTAGAAATGAATGTGTTTGTAATAATGTTACTAATTCTTCAGACAACTTGCAAGACCGTGAGAAAGCTTAAAATACCTTCAATGTTGAAAAGCTTGAAACTTCAAAAATCCGGTGATATTTAAAAAAATAGAATAAAATCATTGCTACATCAGATTCTCTTTTAAAAATTTGGTTTTAAGTTCTTAATTAAAACAATTTGCCACAAACATGCTGTTTCTTTGTTACTTTTATTAAAATCAGTCATAGATTATTGAATAACATCTAGGACTCTGTTGGGCACAGGTGAATGGGAAGTAAATAGGAGTTTTCCTTTCTTTTAAAACCTGAAAGATCGCTCTTATAGGAGGCATCAAAATACTTGGAATAAAAAAGAAATAGGAAAAAAATACTTGGAAACCTCTCCCCCCACCCCCACTTAAATTTTTAAGTGCACATATATGTGTGCATTTTTAAAGTTAACTTAAGGTATAAAAATGTAGGTTATTGTAATTGTTCACACTGTAGTAGGCATGTATGTGTGCCACTTCATAGGTAATAGCTTTGCCACTGGGTTTTAGAAAATACAGACTGCTAGTAATTTGATAGGTGTATGCACTGGGTCAGCCAATGCAGCCAATTAAATTGCATGAAAGAAAGGTGGTTGTTGGAAGTTTTAACGTCCAAAACAGAACTCTGCATAATTTGCAGGTTTAACAAAAACCTAGCATAGCTCCTTTCCTTTTAAATTGAGAATGATGCTGTGCTGGGAAAAACATTTATAAATGGAATGTCTGGTACTTGACATTTAATGGAACATTGTGGTACTTGCCATATATATGGTATGCTATAGTATTTGGTATTTATTGGCAAAGAGGGAAAGAGGCAAACCTGTTAGAAGTAAAAGCAATTTTTCTTGTTAACTGTTTCAGTAGAAAATTGTGTAGTGTATAGTTTTATGTTTTGCTGAATTAGATTAAAACATGGAACTAATATTTTTGTAGCCTGACTCTATAGTTGCTTGGTATCAAAATGCTAATGTCTGACTATAGGATCCCTACTAGTTTTGTGATCATTTAAATATTTGAAAAGTCACCTTAAAAATGTAGCCTGATCATTTCAGAATGTCTGCATTTTGAGATTGGATATTTGTACAATAAGATGAATAAGGAGTTATTCGTTTTAAGTTTATGCTTAAATTCAAATTCTATGCAAAGAGCTCTGTCTAGATATTGACCCAGATTTTCTCCCTTTTAGCCTGCTAATATTAGATGGGGAAAAAGTTGTTCCTTTAATATTTATTTCCATTTTGAAATTCAGGACACCTGAATGAAGACACTAGAAGCCTCTTTTTGGAATTTTTTTTATAATTAGCAAAACTATTTGAACAGTCTCCCAGTGTTGAAGTTTATTTTGAGAACTGCACATTCTTTCACATTCTGAAGGAACAAAGGCTAGGCACTTATAATTGCAAAGCTCATGCAGTGAGAATTTTGGGTTGTATTTTCTAAGCACTATGTATTGCTTTTTACTTATATTTAATACTGCAGTTACTTAGGAAAATGTGAATAAAGTTAACATTACAGGTTGAGACTTCTAATTTGTGGGAAATAACTCTAATACATCAGTGGTTGGAGAAAATTAATGATCACATTGGCTTTAAGTGGATTTCTCCTTAGATAAATGCTTGAAAGATATATTAAATATACCGGGGAAGCTACTTTTTGTATATACATTTGAGTTGAACTAAACGTTTTCTCTGTCTTTCCCCTCTTATCTTCTGTTACCTTGAAAATTATTATAAAAGTAACAGTGCATGTTTAGAATAATTTAAAAAAAGACATAGAGTAAAAAGGGAAGAGTCTGTTCAATAACACCCTCTCACTAAAATTCTAAACCCCTTCTTGAAGGAAATCAGAATGAAGTTTGGTTTATAAGCTTCCAGACACTTTCTAAGCATATACTGTGAAAATATACAAACTCCCCCCCCCAAATATGGAATAACGTTGTACACATTCTATATATCTTCTTTACTTCATATCTTAGGGAAGTTTCGGGTTCTAGTTAAGATGGAGTTCCACCCTCCTTTCGTTCTCACCAAACACAACTGTGGAACTGGGGCAGAATGCATGAGGGTGCTGAGAAGTAAATAGCAACACACAGACAGGGAGGACCCCCAAAAGCTAGGTACAACTAGAGTGATGAGTTGTCCCTTTTTTTATTTCTCTGATATCTCCCAACCTGAATGCAACACAGCCCCAAATGCAACCATGAGCACCAGCGCCCAGATCCAGGAGGAGCCTGGTTGAGAACAGAAAAGGAGATGCTAAAGCTCACAGAGTGGGGAATGTCCCCTTGCACCCCACCTTTTCCTCCATTTGTCCTGCTGGAGCCCCCAGGTAATCCTCTGGTTGCCCCGGGGAGCCTGCAGGAGTTAAGGTGGAGGGAAAGGCGCTTCACCTCCAACTGGTGACACCTTGGCCCAAAGGTGAGCTGAGTCTATGTGTTTTTCCTCCTTTCAGACATGGTTCAGTTACAGAAGAGAGCAGTTTGGATGGGAGGACCAAAGAGGAGGCCCAAAGAGCTAGAAAACCTGGTTCCTTAGAAGGAAATTTATAGTAACATGTGCTTATGTCAGGACAGGAGGTCTGTAATAGCAGCCCTCGTGGCTCCTGGTCCTCTGCGGGGCCCTCAGCTGAGCAGCATCAGCCTGGACTAACCATGTCTGATGACCAGCCCTGGCACAGCCACATTCGGGTTTTGGGAAAAAGAAAGAGTCCACCGTACTGGAGACTAGTGGGTGAGGTTTGAACCCTGCTCCTGCTATTCAGATGCAGCTGCACGTACTTCCCAGCGCCTGCAGGAGATGCAGGCAGATTGGATGCATTCCAGGGTTCTGGTTTTGAATCCTCAGCTGGTTTTGAAAACAGATCAAACAGGTCCGAGCTCCCATGGACACCACTTAGGTGAAAGCTTGCACCTGCACCAATTAAGTCTTGGGAACAGGTGGTTTGGAAAATGGGCCAGTCAGGTTGGAAAGGTGGGTACCCTGAAGAGGGATAGAAGAAAGGCAGCTTGAAGCTATTGTTGGACTCCTTTTGGGAAGGCTTCAGTCGGCTTGAGAGAAGCTGCTTGGGAAGGCTTCCGTGATTCAAGAAGGTTTGACTCACCTTGGAAGATGCTTCAGGTAGAGACAGACTTCAGGTTCAGGAGAGACACTGCTGCACTGACCCCTGGATGCTGCAGATTAGTTGGATTCTGGTCGCCCCAGTGAGCTATCCATTCCAGTCTCCCTTTGGAGGGGCTACACCATCTTGCACGAGTAGCTTTGGCTTTGGGCTACTGGACACTTGGACACTACCTGGGCTAGGACAGTGGTCATTTGTGGCCTTAGGAATGCTTTCCTTATCCCAGTCTCTCTTTGTAATGAAACCCTGTTGTGGCAGCCTGAGCCTGTGTGGTGATTTGTGATTGTGAGCTCATGGGTGAGAACCCCACTACCGTGAGTGGTCCCCCACCTCTGCTCTATTTCACATCTCAGATCAATAACCAATCTTCTAAAACTATTTGGGAAAAAAAAAACTAGAAAAGGACACAGTCTTTTTAAAAACTGGGTTTCTGCTGAGGGGAGCGGCAGGTGAGACAGGAGAGGTCTGCTGCACTGTGTGGGTATCTCCCTGGTCAGGGATGGAACTTGTGCTGCAGTGGCTGCGGACAGCTTCATAGGTTGCATCTTAACCCCTTGAGCCACAAGGCAGTCAATCTCCCTGTTCTGTTCCCCACTCTGTCTCTGGTGAATACTCTCACCCTCCCACACCTCTGGCCTGTGCCCCAGTTCTTATATGTACAAATAAATAAGCCTTTAGAAAAAAGAAAAGGTTACAATTGGCTACTAAGCACACAAAATAATCTCAGCAAAATTAATCATCAAGGAAATGCTAATTAAACACAGTAAGATATAAAACCCCCAAATTAAAAAAAAAACAACACCTGGGTTTCTGTCTAACTTGTTAGGGTCTCTGTAAGTCTGATGCTGCTCTTCTGGTAAATACATTGCAAGTGCTTTGTCACAGCCTGCTGTTCCTCCAACCATACAGCTGCTTGATGAGTGGCTGGAGCTCACCCATCTTTTTCAAAGGGACCAGGGCTGCAGTAGGCCAGGGGTGCTATAGGTGAACTAGCTGTTTCTCATGCTCTGATTAGGACACAGTGGGGGCGGGGGGCACAACCCCCACTCCCTGCCCCACCCTGCACAGGGACTGCTGTTCCTGGATGCTGGGATCTTACATGAGCTCCAGTGGCCCATGCCCTGCAGTTTGTGGACTGACAGGACACCTTCATGATCACGTAGTATTTGTAGCATAAGATCAGATTTAGTAAAGACACAACATAAGTCTTCACTGAGAAAGGTGTTGTGGATTTAAGTTCGGGCCTCCTGCTCTGGAGTGAACGTTGGCACAAGTTCTCTGTAGGGCAGTTTGGTGTTAAGGCTCATAGCAACGTCTCCTGGTCAAGGCAATTCCACTGCTAAACACTTCCACGTGTGCGGGGTGCCTGGCCCAGGGAGGCCACTGGGGCGCAGCACCCTGCCCCAAAGGAGCCAGACCTCCAGGGGCCAGGTGGGGGGTGGGCCGCTGATCCCATATGTGCGGAAAGCAATAGCCAAAGAACACAAACTGCAAAGCAGGGCAAAAAGGATTCCCAGACTCCATGAAAAATGAACTGATTAGCAGAGAGAATGAGGGGAGGGAAGTTGAGGGGAGGGGGTGTAATTCTGGTGGAGGGTGATGAAGCATGTGCACATACGGAGGAGCGAAAATGTGCCCCCGAAGTCGCACAGATGTGCAAGTGACCGACAAATTCGTAACATTTGGGAAAGGAGTAAAGTTAGAAGTTTGAAAACCACACAAGTGGACACATTTGGCAGGGTGCTAACTGCTATGTGCACAGGTTTCTAGAAACTACTGGTTCCCAGGGGAAGTGAGACTCGTGCCTGCCGCTTGGACGCTGTGCCTGCGGTCGGAGTTCCAGCTCTAAGCACTGGCCTTGTTTATCTGCAGGGTGGTCTGAACGAGTTAACAGCGACCATCTGAGAAAACTGCCTTGGCCACTCATTTATCTTTTATTGTTATGGTGACTCTGGTGTTGACTAATACCTGTGATGACTACAGTTAGCTTCTCTTTCGCTATTTTATGGCCTGAGGGTTTCAGAACTGGGGAGTTCCTCTCTGTTGCTTTCTGGTCTCTGAGAGGAACTCTGGGAGGTGGAACCAAGTGCTCACTTTCTGCTCAGAGCCCTGCAGGAGCCCCCTTGCCTGCTCAGCCTGCAGCCTCTTCCTGAGGGCACCCCACTGGTTAGCCCCAGGGGCCTTCGCCAGGGCATCCTGGTGGTGCCCGGGGACCCACCTGCCTGTCTCCCTGCTCTCTCTCTCCCCCCAACCTCTTCTCGCACACAGCTGAGCACTCTGCTGTGTGCCCAGGATAACAGACCAGACCACTGGGCACACACGATCCCGATGAGCAAATAGCAGCCGTGGCTGAAAGGTGAGGGATGGGTCCCAAACTGCAACTGCTCTGGTAGAATTCTGGAGTGACAGCCTAGGGTTTAAAGTCAAATCTATTCCTTGGAGCTGGAAAGAGGATGACTCTGGTAGAATAATTTGAAAGTTACAGATCATGTAAAAAAAGTCCTGAATAATGAAATTTTCCTGCTACTGGCTTATTTGAAGACTAAGTTAAATAGAGATAAGAAGCAGCAGACCAGGGTCGAAAGTTTATTAGCCTGGGCCTCCCCGGGTAGCGCAGGCGGTTGAGCGCCGCGCTGTGAAGCTGTCCGCAGCCTGCAGCGCCGGTTCAACCCTGGGCCGGCCAGCAAGGGTCCCACATGGCATGGCAGACCTCTCCTGTCTCGCCCGCTGCTCCCCTCAGCAGTGTATTTCGTCAGTCTGCCTGTTCTATACCCCGCTCTGTCTCTGGTGAATCTTCTCATTCTCCCGTGCATCTGGCCTGTACCCCGGTTCTTGTATAAAATAAATAAATAAATCTTAAAAAAAAAGTTTATTAGCCTACAGCATGGGATGTGGCCACAACACAGTAAATGTTGCCAGCAAGCGCTGTAAACGGGCATCTAGTGCGGAAAAGAGCCTCCCCACAAGGGACCAACGCCCTTCGCACAGGCCTCGGGTTCTTACCTGTACGGGAGAAACATTTCACTAACAAACAACTTTCAGTGCTGACAGCCTTGGACACTGAGCACAAGTGACTGTGACAAGCGTCTGAGAACCAGTTAGCATGTGTTTCCATCTATAATCACTTAGAATATTTTCAATCTGCTAAAGTCAGGGACAAAAAAGTCAGTGTTCAAAGTGGCAAGGTTTCCCCTTTAAATCAGAGCACGCGTCTACAGTGGTGAGAGCCACTTATTCCCACTTCTAACAATTCAGCTCAAAAGGTTAAAAACAATTCAGCTCAAAAGGCTACAAACAAAATGCTTTCACCAGGTGGGGTGAAAATTGTTGCTAGTTGTTAAAATCTAGTATTTGAAAACTGCATAAAATTTGAGGGACAAAAAAACTGCAGACACCCCAAAGTTTTGCCCCACTTTGCAGCAGCACCTGCGGGCTGTGCCATCCTGAGGGCTGGACCCCAGCCTCTGCATCTTGGACCCCTGTTGTGAGATGGGCTGACATCACTAAGTACCACGGTGAAGGTTGTCTTGAAGCTTAAATCGAATGTTAAGTGTAGGAACACTTTTTTTTTTAAAGATTTATTTTTATTTTTATTTATTTAAGCACTGGGTACAGTCAGAAGCACGGGAGGGCGAGAGAACTCACCAGAGCCAGAGCGGGGAGCAGAGCAGGCAGAAGGACCGAAGTACACTGCTGAGGGGAGCAGCGGGCGGCAGGAGAGGTCTGCGCGCCATGTGGGACCCTCCTCCGGTGGCCGGGGAGCAGCCGGGGATCGAACTGGCGCTGCAGAGGCTGCAGGCAGCTTCGCAACCCAGCGCTCAACCGCTGCGCCACCGGGGAGGCCCAAGAACACTTTTAAGTTGTAAAAAAATGCTAGGTCCCTTCAAAGTTTTATTATAGAGAGTTCAGTTGATAGTATTAAACATGAAGGAACTTGTTTCGTTAAAAATTCTCTAGCAATTTCTCCAATAAACTCTTTTTTAAATAAGAAAAGTCAAATGGGCTTTAAATCCTCTCCCTTTGATCAGGGCTGCAGTGAGCTCCCTCCACCTGCCTAGCAGCACCCCATAACTGGGTTTCTCTAAGAGCAAAAGTAGAATTCTCATGGCCCACACAGGGCTAAAGTTTGAAAAAATCAGGTAAAAACACACAAATAACCTAAATAGAATACAAACTTTGAAAGTTTCAGAGATATCATCATTTAATCTTAGAGTAGGAAAAGAATTATTAGCCAATCTATTACTCCTTTGAATAGGTACCAGGTTTTTAAGATCTAATTATAGCCCTGGCTTCTGCTTCAACACAGCCGCTTGCTGTGACAGAGTGTGTGTAATCAAGAGCACTGAGGTCGGGCACACTTGGTCCACGGCACGCCCAGGAATCGGCAATTACATCCTCACTTGCTTCTGACGGCCCTCAAGCCCACAGCTCTGGTCTTACAGCGAGTGACCCAGGAAGACAGAGAACACGGGGATCAAAGGGCCAATAAAGAGTGCCCAGAATTCTCCCCAAATACTAATCCAACCAGAACCTGTAGCCTAAAATATAAAACTCTTTAACTCTTTAATGTAAAACAAGATGAATGGGGAACTATATTCTTAAACCAACCATTAAAAAGGAAGCAGGCTGTGGCAGGAGTTACTTGAGACAGTTTTATTGTAGGTCTTAAGAAGACAGTTTTGGATTGAAATTTTGGGGTGATTTAGGAGCTTCATGGACTTGGATGTACAAAAGTGTGCCCGGGTTTGGGAAGTTCTTTAAATGCCTTTTCTGTTCCTTCTTCTGGGACTTTGTGATGTATGTTTTGTCTCTTAGTGACTGGCCCTAAGTTCTGAAGGCCTTCTTCATTCCTTTTCGATCTGGATTTTTTTTCCTCTTCTAACTGCATAATTTCAAAAGATCTGTCTTTAAGGTAACTTTTTCTCCTGCTTAGTCCAGCCTGCTGGTGAACCTCCCTATCGAATCCTTCAGTCCAGTCATTGTGCTCTTCAGCTCTAAAATTTGTTTCTTGTATTTTCTATCACTTGAGCTTCTCATTTTGTTCTTGTGCAACTTTCCTTATCTTGTTAAATTGTCTGTCTTCTCCTGCAGTTCTCTGAGCGTCTTTAGAACAATTTGTTACAATTATTTGTGGGGCAGTTCATCTCTCTCCATGTATTTGGAGCTAGTTACTGGAAACTTACTGTGATCCTTCGGCGGTGTCCTTTCCCTGGCTGTGATCCCTGTGGCCTTGCATCAGTGTTTGTGCATTTGAAGAGGGAGTCACTTCTTCCATACTTTATGGACTGACTTTGGTAGGGAAACCCTTCACCTGTGGGTGGGGCATGCTGTGTCCCCAGGACTGGTGGTGCAGAGTGCCAAGTCCCTGTCTGGGGAAGGGGAGATGTGATGTTTTATTAGGCCACTGAGTTCTATGCCACTGACTGTGTGGTCCTTGGCAAGTGCCCACAGGAGGTCAGTAGTGGCTGTAAGGGCCTCAATGGAACCGACTGGTCAACTTGGCTGTGGTGCAGCTGCAGGTGCCTGTGCCGTGGCAGGGGCCCTTGCAGACACACATGCAGTGGTGAGAGCCAGGGCCAGTACCAAGGCTGGGGCCAAGCGGAGGCCCTGGTGTCATGTGCTCTTCTATAGCTGCATTGTCTCCCCAGGGACATGCAGGGACCGGGGTGTGCTCATGCACTGTGGGGCTAGATGCAAATGAACCCAGAGGTGCAGGCCAGTGATGGAAATAAGGCCAAATCTGTTCCTACCGGCAGCCACAGAGCTTGGGTGATGGTGTGCATGTTCACGGCTACGGGATCTGCTGATGAGGAGTCAGGCTGGAGACCTGCTAGTGCAGAGCTAGAGGGGCAAGCCACAGTGTGCACATGGCCATGGGGGTTAGGCATGGGGTGGAAGTGGCCTCTTGTGCTTAGGTAGCTGCAGAAGCCTGGTCAGGCTACCGGTGAAGATCTCGGGTTCTGGAGTGGGTTGGGAGTTGGAGCAGAAGGTATGCAGGTGGCTGGGGCCTGTTAATGGGAATACCTGCAGGGTGAAATCCACAGGGGGTGGTGTGCCTGTGTAGAAGTTTCCATTGGTGGAAGCAGCTGGGCTTCTCTGCAGTCACTGGAAAGGCTAGGGAAGCTGGGGCTCATGCACTGCCCCTTCCCTTGCTGGGTTTTCCCTCTAGTGCTGAGCGATGCCAACTTGGGGGCTATAGGGTGGGGGGAGGTGCAGGCAAATAGAAGGTGATCATTTCCAGGGCTCTTGTTCCACTGTGCTGCTAGTTTCTTGAGTGGATGTCTGGACTCTGCCACAGCTTTTTTTTTTTTTGTCTGTGAATAGATGTCTGATTGTTGATCTTTGTGAGAGGGAAGGGGGTAGAGACTGGGGGTCTTCTACTTCACACTCTTGGTTGCATCACTTGAAAAAAGGGCTCTAGGAGTTATGAAACTCATTCCCAGGACAGAAAGGATTTAGCAGAATCCTATGTCCCCTTTTGAAACTTTTGCACAAAGGGATCTTGCAGTGAGCAGCTGGATACCCAGGTATTTAGAAGGACTTGGGGACACTGACTGATCATCTGCTCTTTCCAGCAGCACTGGAGCCCCTGCCGGGTGCCAGGAACAGGCACACAAAAGGCAGCTCTGGCCCGGGGCCACCTTAGCCTCGTGTAGAGGACACTAAAGGACCACACGGACACCAATGTGATCGACACCATAAGAAAGGGTCAGGACAGAGACTAGACGGAGCAGAATGTCTGCGTGTCCCGGGGGTGGGAGGAGGTTAGAGAAGCTCCAGACAGAAGTGTATGCTGTTCCTTATAGAACAACAGACCTGGAGAGTTGGGGGGCGGGGGGGGGGGAGAGGGGCTGGGGAGGTCATAGGTGAGGGAGTCACAGCCTGTGCTGTGATGTGACAGCTAGGGGTGTCCGGAGAAATGCACAGGTATTTTAAAGCATCACGTCCCTCCCGGGGAGATGGTCATAGTATGAGGGCACGACATTTATGGCCACAGAACCCAACATGATGACTTTCTAGAAAGGAGAATCATGTGGTAGAATTAGTCTGATGAACCATCTCACAAAACTTCCTATTCAATGTGAAATGATTTGAGGGCATCCCACCCAACCTACAGAAATTCACATTTTACACTCATACATAGTTGGTCCTTAAATATTTAGTCATCATAATTATTTGCAGGATATTTTGGAATATAAAATATTCCAAAATTTAGCAAGTTTGTTTTCTTAACTCTGGTCTTCTTCAGAAGGAAATTTACACATTACATTAAGAAGTAAGAGAAAGTTGTTGAAGCACAGCTTGTATACTCCTCCTCTGGCTCCCACAGAAGGCAAAGGAAGCTGTCCTCTGGCACGAAGGAGCACGGAGTTATTGCAAGTTTCTGATGTGGCTCCATTCACTTCATATTTAGTGAGCGTGCATCCAAGTGTGGCGAAACGCATGCGTCAAAGTCAAATACATTCTTCATAATGGTATGTACACAGATGGAGAGGATTCAGATTAGGTCTACTTCATGGAATTGCACTGGCCGTGGCCATAATGAGGCTCTGAACAGCCAGCCCTGTGCGGCTCGATGCCCCTGCAGCTGTCTGTGCTGGCCATGAGGACGGGCCGCCTGCTGGGGGCCTGACTGTCCTTTGGGCCAGGGGACAGCACTTCTGGTCCAAATGGCCACATGCTGGGAAATAACCTCCAGGAACACTGTATGAAAGATGTGCATTTTGCTTTTTCAATTTTGTTTTAGAAAATCAACCTCATATAATTGCAAGATAAGAGAAAGCATAACCATTCCTGGCCTTCTATTTCAGAAATTTCCAAAGATAGATTGATTATAAAAATTAAAAACAAAATTCTTGCCAGAGATGAACACTGAACTATTTTTGGGTGAGGTGACAGATGCCTTGGATGTTTTAAAATACTACAGCCTAAAAAAAGTGGGTAAATGTAGATAAAACAAGATTGGCTCAATGTGGATGATTGTTGAAGCTGGATGATACTGTGGTTCATTGGGCGATCTTCTCCATACTTGTGTATGTTTGAAAACCTCCTTATAAGAACTTGAAAAGCGTATCAATGCTATTTTAAAGGAAACAAAACAAAACAAAAACAAAGACTCTCTGATCACAGTATTTTCTAGCAGTAAGCAGTATAGTCAGAGGGTAATGGTAACAATTTACTCAAGTCACTTGTCTTTCTGCAACTAGTAGGTTGCGTGTTCTCAGAACAGTTCCTCTAAAATTCTAAAAACAGCTCATCAAAGAAGTTTACACAATTGGGAGTGACCAAGCAAAACCAGAGACCAAGTCTAGTGGTTTGTAAATGAACAGGTAGGTATAGGTACATGAACAGAAAGTAAGACTCACTGTACAGCTGGTACAAAACATGATTAAAAACTTAGAGGAGTTTTAAAGTCTAGTTCTGCCTTCAAAGAAAAAAAAAGACAAATTTGGCAGAGAATGAAGAATCATCAACTGTGTCACAGTGTGAATGACAAATCATTTAAGGTTCTGATTTGAGCAATGGCGAATGCTTTGGCAAGGGATCAATGTTCTGAAAGATTCCAAAAATTCTTATGTAATTCACAGGTGTTAGGTTCTCAATAAAATCATTACAGAATCCCAGTATTCTGATGTTCTTATTTTCATGTAAATGCTGGACTGCAAAAGAATAAATTATAACCTCAAGCCTAAGGGGAGCTTAGAATTTGTTTCTAAGAAGAGTGAAGTAATACTTTTCTAGAAATGTAAATTAAGAGCATCCAGAAAACTTAAGTTGTGGGGAATGTATGTATGACGCTTGTTACTAGACTAACTGTGGAATAAGAAATACATTTGGTTTCTGTCCCTAGTTCTAAAACCCTTTGAATTTCCCAATTCCAAATCACCTCCCCTCTTTATTTTTTTCTAAAGGCCTTCTATTAAGAACCACTAGTTCTCTAGCAACTTTTATTGGCCAAAGGATGTGGAATGGAAATACAGTGCCTGTGGTTTAATGAACAGGTTCATTTGTAAATCAACTTGACATTTAGCTTATTTCTAAATTTCTTGCTTTTGAACAAATTGATGTTAGATGGACATGTTCCTAACCCAGACAAGAAACTTCAAAAATGAGCAGCTTGCAAAAGTATCATAAATGAAACAATTCTTCCAGTGAGGTCCAGGAAATAGTTCTGTCTGAGGATTTGCTTCATATGAGGATTTCTTAAAAGAAAATAAGGCGTTATAAAAGCAAAATTAAAAGAGCTAAAGCAGATGGTGTTTTAAAAATCACTTCCCAGAGTTTGTAATGCCACTATGCTGTTGATGAAAATAAAGCAACAAAAAGCAGTAGGGATTGTCTAACTCACTAAGTGGTAATGAAATCTGCCAAGCAGTCGCAGCTAAAAAGTCACAGTGGAAGAACAGGTAAGATGACCTTTCTGACCTTGCAGCCTTAAATACTATACTTCCACTTTAAGGAAAAAATGCTACACTGTATTTTTTGCATTGCATTTTAAAATATTAGAACACTTCTTTGTAATACAATATATATTATATTTCAACAAACCTTATGTGAATTAAAAACATGTCAACTTGATAACGGTAAGTAAGGCATTTAAGTATTCGGCAAAAGCACTACAGAAATTTCCTAAGGGATGGTTTCCCTTTAATATTAACTTGATTTGGTGGGTTTCCTTAAACACAAAACAATAAAAGACTTAAAAAAGAGGCAGTGGTAACTGTAATGCTGAAACCCACAAAAAGCAAGGAGTAAACAATGTGTTTTTTGTAGTAGGGAGACCAAGTCAGCAAACTGGGAACAGACAAGCAGTCCCAAGTTACTTGGTCTGTTGCATTTACCAACAGTTGAGGGTAGAATCTGTTGCCGAGTTAAGTTTGGTTCAAGTGCGGAATCCTTTTGTGCCTCACAGTGCCTCACACAGAGCAGGTACTCAGGCTACACTTCCTGGATGGAGCTGGAAAGACTCAATTTTTCATTTTATTTTGCTTTGTGAGTTAACTACCGATCTAGTGTTTCAAGTGTGGTCATGTCAACGCCTTGTGGACAGAGGGAAGCAGAGCTAAATCAACACTGTCCTGGCCTAGACGCCAGAGTCTCTGAACCTCAGGTCATAAAGAGAACCGACTGGCCTTGTAAGCAATGTGATGAGCAAAGCACACCTCACGATTAGCAAGTTTTAGTTGACATGATTAAAAAAAAAAATTAGACTGCATTTAGTGCCAGTTCCGTCGGATCACACGTCAGATGCCATGCTGTGGAGACTTCCCGGCTGGAGTATGTACAGTACATAGCCAGGATTTCAACCAAAGAGGAAAGGGAAAATATGGAACAGAAAGTGTTTACGTACATGTTTACATCTAATGGGACTGTCCATTGAATTAGGTTTATTATATGATTTGGTTTGCTGTGCCACATCTTTTTTTTTTTTTGCACAAAGATCTACTTCTGCATAAAGTAGAAAAAGATGGTGATAAAAAACTTCAGATTCTTCAAGCTCCGACAATTGTGTCTCAAATACCATTGTATGAACCTAAAAAATATTAAGAACAATTTAGGAATGTGCGTAAGTATGAGAGTACAAAGAAGCAGAGCTAACAGTCCCAAAGAGAGTGAGTGAAGGCTCCCCACCTCTACTTCCACCCACTAGATAATACTGACCACACACAAAGGCCACACGATGTGGGGGGAGGGGCCTGCACCCCAGCTCCTGTATGCATAAATCTTAAAAAAAACAATAAAACAAAAAAAAGGCCACACAAGCAAAAGAGGAAGCTTTCAAAAGTTAAAAATCTCCCACTTGCAAATTTTACAAATAAGCCTTTGATTTTGGCAACAGACATTCATTGAGACTTCAATTAACCCAAAAATATTTCATTGACATAATGGCAGGAGAATCTCTGTTTTCTTATTCCCATCAACTATTGCCCTACCTTTCCCAGCAAGACCATGACAATTTCTGATAGAGTAAATTTGTTCAAACTGTCTAACTTTTTGTTCCTCTCTTTTTCTGCTTTCTATTTGATTGCCTACTGAGATTAAATATGTATTTACTCCATTTTAATTCCTTTACTGGGTTTATTAGCCAAAAATCTTTGTGGTATTCTTTTAATGGTTGCTTTAGAATTTTGTTCTTATCAAGAGTTAATTTTTTTAGAGCAGTTTTAGGTTCAACAGCAAAACTGAGGGAAAGCACACCGATTTCCTCTCTACCCTCTGCCCACAGACATGCACAGTCTCCCCTCAAATCAACATCCCCTGCGGGTACATTTGTTATCACTGATGAATCTATGATCAGCACATCGTAATCACCCTAAGCCCACGTCCACATTATGGTTCGCTCCCGGTGCTGTGCTTACTATGGCCTCTGCTGTGACATGTATTCACCACTGTGGTGCTATTTTCACCGTCCTAAAGATGCTCTGTGTTCAGCCTGTCCATCGCTGCCACCCCAGTCCCTGGAAACCACTGATCTTTCACTCTTGCCATAGTTTTACCTTTCCCAGAATGCCACAGAGTTGGAATTGTCTAATATATAGCAGTCTTCAGATCGGCATTGAAGGCTCCTCCAGGTCTTTTTGTGGTTTCACAGCTCATGTCTTTCTAGTGCTGAATAATAGTCCACTGTGGTCTGGATGTACCACCGCCTGTCCATGACCCCCTCAAAGGACATCTTGGTTGCTTCCAAGTTTTGGCAACTAGAAACAAGGTTTCTACAAACATCCATATACAGGATGTTGTGTGGACATAAGTTTTTAACCACTTTGGGTAAATAGCTAGCAGTGAGGTTGCTGGGTCATGTAGTAAGAGGAGCTGTGGTCTTGTAAGGAACTGCCGGCTCTTCCAAAGAGGCTGGGCCACTCTGCATTCCCACCAGCAGTGACTGGCTCTTACTGCTCCACTTCCTCACTGGCATGTGATTGTCAGTGTCTGCAATTTTGGTTATTCTAACAGGTGTGCAATGGGAGCTCATTGTTTTAATTGGCATTTCTGTGATGACATGGTGTAGGGCATCTCTTCACCTGCTTATTGTTATCTGTGTATCCCTTTAGTGAGGGGTCTGATAAGGTCTTCGGCCTGTTTCTACATTGGACTGTTTGTTTTCTTAGTGAGTTTTAGGAATTCTTTGTACATTTTGGATAACAGTCCTTTATCAGATATGTCTTTTGGAAATATTTCTCCTATTCTGTGATCTGTCTTCTCATTCTCTTGTCATTGTTTTACCGGGCATGGGGCTTTAAAATGTAATGAAGTTCAGCTTATGAATTTTTTATTTCAGGGACTGTGCCTCTGGTGCTGTGTCTAAAAAAGTCACTGCTGTACCCAAGGTCATGTAGATTTGCCCCTATGTTATCTTGTAGGAGTATTTTACATTTCACATTTAGGCCTATGATTCTCTTGGGATAATTTTTTGTGAAGGGGGTAAGGTCTGTCTGGAGTCATTGTTTGCATGTGGATGTCAACTGCTCCAGTGTCATTTGTTGAAGACTGTTTACTCCCTCACCTCACATGTGCTCCTTTGTCAAAGATGGTTGACCACACTTAGCTGAGTCTACTCTGGGCTCTCCGTTCTGTTGATTTATTTGCTTGTTCTTTGATCAGCTCCACACTGTCTCAATTACTGTAGCTTTAAAATGTCTTGAAGTTTGGCAGTGTCTTTGACCCTTATCTTATTTAGAAGTGTGTCCTTTGATCTTCACTATTTTGGATTTTCTGGTTATCTTTCTATTACTGATTTTTCATTTAATTCTATTGTTGTGTGGGAGCAAAAAATGTATGATTTCTAGTCTTTTTACTTTGCTAAGCTTAAAGTGTGCTCCATTTTGGTGAATGTTCCACGAGCCTGAGAATTAATGTGATTTCTACTGTGGTAGGGAATACTGAACTATTAATTATGCAGTCACCTCTCCTTTTTACAATGTAGCTGGAAGACTAATGACCACCTCTGTAGTTAGGAATATGTGGAGCCCGGGGTAGTGCAGAGTCCTGGGGCAGGGGGCTGTGTCTGAGCACCTACCTGTGTCTTCCTGTGCTGCTTCTAACAGCCGCACTCCTGAGCGCTTGGAGCCTGTGAGCGTCGTGGTGACCGTAGCTGTCTCAGGGCGGCATCTCCGTACTGAATACCTGAGCCCATCCTCTCTGGGTCCAGCTCACCTAAGGACCAAGCAAGTCTTCTTTTATTTTTTTATTTTTTAAAGATTTATTTATTTATTTATACAATCACTGGGTACAGTCAGAAGCGCAGGAGGGTGAGAGAGTTCACCAGAGCCAGAGAGGGGAACAGAACAGGCAGAGTGACGAAATACACTGCTGAGGGGAGCAGTGGGCGCAGCAGGAGAGGTCTGTCGCGCCATGTGGGACCCTCACTGGTGGCTGGCTGGGGATCGAACCGGTGCTGCGGAGGCTGCGGGCAGCCTCGCAGCCCAGCGCTCAACCACTGCGCCACCAGGGGAGGCCCGCAAGTCTTCTTTTAAAAGAGTTTTTCTGTTTCTGTGATTACCCACATATATTAAGTGAAAAAAGCAAAGTGCAGAACACTGTTTTTACACCACCATTTTGAATAAAGAGGAAAAAATAAATACATATATGCTTGCCTGCACAGGCATGAGGTTATCTTTGGAAAGAACAGGTGGTAGTGGCTGATTTCGAGGAGTTCTAGATACTAGAGGACAAGACAGGGGTGGTCATGGAGGGTGACTTTCCCTGTATCCTGTTTTGTACTTTTTGAATTTGGAATTATGTGAGTATATAAAGACAAATTAATTTAAAATGCATCAATCAGATACCATGTTTTTACTTGTCAGACTGTTAAAAACCCAAACATATAACACATTCTATGGGCATGGCGTTGCTAAAATAAGTGCTTTTATTCAATATTAAATATGATCATAAATTGCTATAATGCTCATAGGAGGATTTGACAGTCTCTACCAGCAATCCCACTTTAGGAGATTTGTCCCACACATACTCTAACACATGTGTGAAATGATATATAAAGGGTTATTTATGGCAGCATTGTTTGTGGCAGCAAAATACTGGCAACAATCCAAATGTCCAAAGTAGACTGGTTAAATAAGTTGTAGCAACAGGCAACTGAATATAACACACATGCACACATGCACATATACACACACATATATGTGTATGGGTGTATATTTGTTCCTAAAATTTAATTTGGAATAACCTATAGGTACAAAAAATAGGTACCTGTAGGTACAAAATAGTAGGTACAAAAAATAAGAAACAGCAAAGTTTACAAAGTTTGTGTAAAAAAGGGAGGAACAAATAATGGTTTTAAAACCATATGAATATATTGCCTACTTAGCATTTAAAATGAAAAAGTAGTGCTAAAGAATTCTAATTTTTTTTTTATATTTTGTACTGAGATGTAATTATGATTTTGATGATCTCAGAAGAAATAGATCTTAAAAGTGTTGAGTCAGTTTACATCAATTACCCTCACGGATGCAGTATTAAAGTAGCAAAATAATTTAAATAAAATGCCATGTTGAGCTTAATAATACTCAACACCAAAACAATTTTAACTTTAAGTTACAGCATTTTAAATCAATTTTTAAATAAATTTTAGTAAAAATTTTTGTGTTTCTCAAATTGAAAAAATTACTCAAGGATGAAGTGTCTTTCTTCTCATTGAGACCCCGCCATTTGGGTCCTTGACTCTCCCGTCCTCCTACCTCCCCAGGCCCTACTTTCTGTCTTCTCCTCTCCCATCCTTTTCTCCTTTACCTCCCACTTCTCGTCCTATCGCATTGGGAATTGTGTGTTCTTTATAAAGATGACCAATGACTTCCTCTTGCCCACCCAAATAGATATTTTCCAGCTCAGTTTTTGGCTTAAGAGGCTTTTCTTTGTTGCATTTGAAAATGAACGAATGCATTGACTGTCGTATAATTTTGCTAAAATAATACCCATTTTCCCCTAGTCCTCTTCATACAACTGACCATTTCCTTCCTTCTCTCTTCTGTGGGTTCCTCTTTCTCTGCTCATCCATTTCCAGTCTCCAGGGTTTTGCTTTTGATCCCTGCTCTTTCCCCTCTCCATTGCTCTCTAGAAGATCACGTTCATTCCATAGTCTTAACTCCTCCCATATATCAATGGCTCTCAAATGTATATTGCCAACCCAGAATTCTGGACTGCTGAGCAAACTCGCCAAGTAACTCCCTGTGTCTGCCCCAGTGCTATTGCAAAGGGAACACATCCAATCCAGGATCATCTTTATTCTGCTCACCCACTGGCTTAATGCCATCTCTTAACTGAGTTTCGCAAGTATGACATCTAGATATCCTTGACTCTTTCTTCTCCTCCTAACCCCACCACCCCCAAATCAAGTGGACTGCTCTACAATTTAGCCCATGAGTCATATGGTGTTGCCACCAAAATATTTCTTAGATTCATCTCTACTTCCATGTACTTATTTAAAGTTTTACTCAGTCATCTTTGTTGTAGCATACTCAAAAGCCCATTCATTGATATCTTGGCCTTGTTCTCTTTTCAAGCTGAACTAGGCATAGCCTCCTACACCCATGATTTATCTCTAGTCACAATCTGACCCCATCACACCCTGCTTACCACTTCTGAATGATGTCCTGTCACCTACAGCACTGGTTTTCAATCCTGGCTAAACAGAGACTCAATCATCTGAGAGAGCTTCTGAAAATGAAGCCTAAGCTATAGGTTAGCCCAGTTAATTCGGCATCTCCAGGGGGTGGGGCCTAGGATTCAATTCGGCATGTCCCTAGGTGATGCTAGTGTACAGCCAGGGTGGAGACACAGGAACCCAAAAGGTCAAGTTCTGCGCTGAGACTCTCTTTTAATTTCTCTGGCTATTGCCTGCCGAGTATCTTTCTGTTATGGTAACTAACTTTTAGTCATTTCCTGCCAATCTCAACTCATGCTGTCTCCTCTGCTAAACTACTCTCCCTGGCTGGCTGTTCCTCTTATTTTCAAAGACTGAGTCCAGTCATCACCTTCTCTTAGGAGTCTTCCCTGACACCATCTTCATGGCCTGGCTGGATAGACTCCCCTTTTCTGTGTGACCCCAAGATCCTGCATTCCTCTCAATTATCGTCTTCGTAAGACCATTTTATAATTATCTCTTGATTGCCTCCCACAAAAGAAAGTTTCTTGAGGGCAAGGGGGTTGTGACTCACTTTTTATCTTAGCACCTGGCAAAGAATAGGCATTCAGATATTTGAATGAATCAGTTGAAAGGTAAATGCCTCCATATCATTTTGGTAATATCTAAATAAAAATTAACTTTAATAAATGATAATTACATAGTACTTTCTCAGCAACTCAAATCAGGGCTATTTTAAATTTAGTTTTACTGAAGCAACAAATATAATGATGAGATAGATGACTACTGAGGTGTGCTCAAATTCAGAAATAAATCCCCCATGATGCATAGTCTGCAATTACCAGTATCATGCAATGTGCCCAGAAATTCCTCAGCACCACATAGCTGCCCCACCTCCAGCACAACTGGAAACCTTGATGACCCACCCCCTTCCTTCAGTGGGGGACCATAGAAGCCATTAAGAAAGAGAGGTGGGCTTTCCCTTTAGTCACGTGGACAAGACCTTCAAATTCAAAGATGGAGAAGACCCTTTGACCAAGTTACTCCTGGAAACATTAAGAAGTGACACTATTGAGCTAGAAAGTAACATGCTGAGGAAAAGTTCATTCATGGAAAGTCTTTTACCTGATTCAATTTTGTTAAGTATTTTTCTTGCACATTGTACAAAGGCTTCTTCTACATTCTCCCCTGTTAGTGCGCTTGTTTCCAAAAACATCAGTTCTAAAATTGACATCAAACAAAATAAAAAGCCATATTTAGAGGATCATCATATTATTCAATTATCAACAGCCTGGCTAGTGTTCCCTTAGAACAGCAGATGAAATGTAATTTCTTACATAAAACCATGCATTTATGCCAATGAAAAACCAATACGTGTCAATATATTTTTTTAAATGTTGGAAGAATTATAACCTTTTTTGAAAAGTAATGAGTAGCTTGTGCTGGCACTAAGGTCTGCAAGAAACTTCGCAAACAGCAGTGCTTGGTAAGGAAGCAGGCTGGCTGGATCCAGCTGTCAATATAAGTAGTATTTCCTTCTCCAAATTATTTTTATATATCTATATCTATCTATATGACCTACATGCATTTACATATTGGCAGGGACTATGGTGCAAACTGTCATTCTGATCACCAGGAGGGTCCAAACCAACTCCCCTTTCCTCCACCCCCAGGGACCTGTCTATGGTCCTAAGGCAGCCTCAGCCTCCCTAGGCTTGCGTGTCCTTTCTTATAAAAATGAATTTAAGTGACTGCTACACTCCTTCTGAGCATTAACATTCTATGCTTTTGTATTTCTAGTTTCCTTACAAAGTCATGGCAGCTTATGTTTTTCTCACATTTATTTTCTTAACAGAAAGCCAGTCGATGTGTAAGAATATATATTGGTAGTCCTGGAGTCCAACTGAAAATTGTTATTAGGATATTTCAATTTTTTTTTTTTTTTAATAGAGGCATGTTTTATTTATTTATTTATTTGTTTGTTTGTTTTGTTTATACATGCACTGGGTACAGGCAGAAGCGTGGGAGGGTGAGAGAATTCACCAGAGCCAGAGCGGGGAGCAGAGCAGGCAGAAGGACCGAAGTACACTGCTGAGGGGAGCAGCGGGCGGCAGGAGAGGTCTGCGCGCCATGTGGGACCCTCCTCCAGTGGCCGGGGAGCAGCCGGGGATCGAACCGGCGCCGCAGAGGCCACGGGCAGCATCGCAACCCAGCGCTCAACCACTGCGCCACCGGGGAGGCCCTAGGATATTTCAATTTTTGAGTGGCTCTAAAAATGAAAATTACTGAAAATAACTGAATCCTTATTTTATTATCTATATGCAAACATCAATTTTGTGTCACCCTCATGTATTCTATATGGAAGTTGACAAAAGCTTCAAAAGCATCAATGCCCAAATGACTTAAGCTTAATGTAATAAAGCCAATTACCTTCTTTTTTATTTAAATGTACTATTTTACCAACTTAACCTCAAATTACATTCAGTAAAAAAGATGAGATCATTTGATTAGAACCTTTAAAAATTGTTGTAAAATTTCACTTGAAACCAAGACCAATAATATCCAAAGATCCTACACTGAAAAGTCATTAGCAAATATGAATGCATTTGCTTTTTACATTATAATAACTTTGCGGGTAGAATGCAATACAGTGAAAACATAGTAAATAAGTCTACACATATAGTAAAGACAGAAGTTACACATTTCTTAATATAGTTCACACTTAACACTCCAGTTAATGTTTTAAATTCAAAGCAATATTGCCCCGAGATATGCATTTGAAAAGCAGCAATAGGTAAAGAGGTCACTTGCCGTTTTCTTGAGCAAACCTGGAGGCTTCTAGGAAGGTGACTTCCCGATCAGCGTCCAGGTCCTTCTTGTTCCCGCAGAGGATGATCACGATGTTCTGACTCGCTAGCATTCTGGCATCTGTTAACCAATTAGTAAGCGCATTGTAGGTTTCTCGGCTGCATAATATAAGATTGTGAAAATAATACATGTATTTTATAAAACCAGCAACTCATTCCAGTCACTCACACTACTCACACTGCTTTTAAGCATGTCAGGGGAGTGCCAACAACCTCGAAGGTAACTCGGACAACGCTGAGGTCAAGTGCACACCACAGGCTTGGCTTCATTTTGTTTCCAGAAAAATGAAACAGCAAGTCAGACATTTTGTTGCTTGATGTTTCCCGGATGGGGTGCAAAAAGAAAGAGAAATTCCTGCATCGTTTTAAATACTGAGTGCTCCATAAGTGCAGCAGGGCGAGGCTCAGCGGCTGACGGCACCCGCAGCACATCTGCCTGTGCGGTGCTCTGTGTCGTGGGGATTTACTGCCTCCATTCTCTCTAAGGACTCGTGACACAGACTCGCTATCCTCTCCCTTTTCTGCACTGAGACCCAGCGAGGTTAAGTTCCCCAAAGTTGCCCAAGCAGAGACCAGGTCTGTGGACTCGGAACTAACTCTCAGACTTGTTGCTCCAGCCTCCATGTCTAAGGACAGTTCACACCATGGGAGCCTGGAGACTTTGACGGCAGCGAGCTGAGACTTTCGGCCCCTGGTAAAGCCTGGCAGCTGCCCACCTCCTCCCAGGGTACCCCACAGCACCCGGTCCTGGACTCAGACTGGGTGGGTGTCACAGCAGCAGGCTCTCTCACTGGACAGTTTCAACCAAAAGGGACCGCCCTCCCCATGCTCTATCACACAGATTTATGGTGATGCTGAAAAAAAACAACCAAAAACTAGAGACCAGTGCTGTCTGATGGGATTTCTGTGAGGACAGGAATGTTCTATCATCAGCACTGTCCAGTATGGCTACCACCGGCCACAAGTGGCTACCGAGGGACTGAACTTTCAGCTGAACTGCAACATGTGGGTGATAGTTACACATAAGGATTCAGAGCCCTGTGATGGACAGAGGTTTTCTATTAACCAATGGACCGCCCAGTAATCTCAGGATTAGTGCACGATCATCGCGTCTCCAAATAACAGACAGGGAGGCGCCATGGAGCTGAGGACCTGCCCCGAGACCCCACTCCATGCGTCACCCTGAACTGGGATCTGAACCCAGGTGATAGCAGCCCAGACTGTGCCCTCAACCTTAATCACCGTGATTAATTCTAGTAATTAAAGCCTGTGGGAATCTTCAGGCAAGTGTCAAAGCATCCTGTGAAGCACAATAAACAGTGGGGCGCTTTGACAAGCGTTCCTTTACATGGTAAGGCAGCTATTTCTAATACCTCTAAGAGCCCAAGTGGAAGGGCAGACGGGCTTCCTGATTCCCAGCCCCGCCACCCACCACACACAGTACCCTGGACAGGGCGGTATGCGCTTGGGCAGCGGGTGGGGGGCTCCTTCCATGGGGCGTGTGTATTACCTGGTGATGTCATAGACCAGGAGGGCGCCAGCTGCTCCTCTGTAGTAGCTTCTTGTCACAGACCTGCAAGAGTCGTCACACCGCCTTTACTTCAGACCATGCTGGTTCTGGACTACCGAGCATCATCCTCCCAGACAAAAGCACCCTCTTTGCTTTGCAAACCACAACACAGGGATGGACAGACATCTCTTTAAAAGAGAAATGACTCAAAGATATATGAATGATGAGTATGCGTGAGGAGCAATTCTGTCCAAAGTCTGGTCACAGAAATGATGGGGAGGTGGGATGTTAGCAAGCAGGGGATTCTCGAAAAAGGCACACAGAGCTCTGCCCTAAGCACTCAGTTCTACGTGGCTTCCTCTGGGGGTTCCTTCTCCCCGCTCCTGCCCTGCTGCCCTCTGCTTCACCCAGGGAAAGGCTAAGTCCACAGCTGAAACGCCATCCTCCAAGCACCAACCTGCTGCCATGGGCCTCTCCTCCTCCTCTCTTGCTCCTCCCCATTATGAAAAAGGACATCTTGCTTTTCCTAACTCAACTGAGCCACAGAGAACATTTTATTTCTTCTCGGGGACTGTCTTCCTTTCATTAATACACTTTCTCCCCAACATTACCAGCCTCTCCCTTTTTTTGTTAGTTTTTTTCATTAGCAGAATAAAATTTGCTCTGGCGCCTCCCATCTTAAAAAACAAGGTATGCTATGCTACACCATCCTTCCAGCTACTTCTCTACAAAAGAATTGTCTACCAGCTGCCCCCCCTGCCCCCCCCACCCCCGGTGTCCCTCTCTGCTACTCCATAGAAACAGCCGGTGGGGCAATGCGGACTTGTGTCTGAACCCAGGAGCATTTCTCTGTCCCTCCTTGCTCCTCTCTGAGGTTCCACCCCCCCCCTCCCTCTTCTGCTTCTGCCCTGTTCATAGCAAACCTCCCCAAAGGCTGGGGCCTGGCTTCTCAGTTCTACTAATGTTTGACTCAGATGTAATCTTCAGCACAGACGACTTCTGGTAAGATCCAACTGTTGCCAATACCTCCACGTGACTGCCTAATTAACATGTCAAAATGAACATTTATAAGACAGTCCTCTTCAGTTCCTACCAGTCTGGTCCACCCTTGGGAGTGGGGGTGGGCATTGCTGTCCACACTGGAATCTGCTTATCTTCCGTTCCTCTTCCATGTCTGATCTGTAGGCAGGGTCTGTCTCTCTAACTAACCATGTCCCACCTGCTGCACATCTACTGTGACTAGCAGTGCCTCGTCCACCCACAGGTCTCTGCCAGGCCCCTGCAGCTGCCAGTCAGAGTCCCCACTGCTGCAGATGTCCCGCAGCCCAGTCTCTGCAGCAGTGGACTGCTCCTCGAGGCAAACTGTGCTGGGGGCTAGTTTGCCCAATGGCCAATGAGCTTGTCAACCACGCCTCTGTGCTGAAAGCTTGGTGATAAAAAGCCCTAACAGTGGGGTTCAGGCAGCCTGTAGGTGGGTGGACACTGGGAGGTGCTGAGAGGGTGGTGCCCAGAGGCAGGCAGCTCAGCACTGGCTCTCAGTGCTCCCCCTGGGCAGAGCTTCCCTGGGGTGCTTCCAAAGTCTATCCTTAGAATAACCCGGGAACAGTAAACAGAGTGCTTTCCTGAGTTCTGGCGAGTTCTAGTAAATTGTGGGACTTTTTTTCAAAAGTAATTTAAACCAAAGCAATACATGAACACAGTGATAAGGCTGAAGGTTGCTAAATGGCTGAAGATCAAACACCCCCCTCTCCTGCCTCGACTTCCCTGTGAGACCTGCCTCTCCCCCCCAGGCAAGTACACCCCTTTGGGATTTTTTTTCTTGGCTCAAGTCATTAAGAGAGTACATGTCAAACACCTGTGTGCCAGGCACTATTCTGACTCTCAACAAACAAAAAATGCAAAAATTTCTATTTGCATCTAACAGTCATTCTTCTGGTATTTGCTCCCATTTCTCTACGAAGTGCTTATGAAACTATTTGTTAATTAAGGGTTTATTGGATTCCTGCTTTGAGGGGAATCTTTAGCTGACACGGCCCTTTCCTTTCCAGGCCTCACTCCACAGGCAGCAGCAGCAGCGTGTGAAGCTGCCAAGTGCCCTTTCCTGTTCTCACAGCTGGCTGCCTCAGTCCCTCGTTCTGCGTCCCACCTCCTGCTGTTGGAGTATATCCTGAGATTCTTAAGAAAGACTTTGTGTGAAAAAACTTTTGTGTCTCCCCCAGTCTTGCATGTCTGAAGGCATTTTGGTTTTACTCTTACACTTAATAAGTAGTCTGGCTAAAGTGAGACTCTTTAGTTGGAAAACATTTTTCTGTGCTGAGTTTTGAAGTCTCTGTGCGCTCCCAGCTGTGCTGCTTGACCAGTTCCATGTCATTCCGGCATCTAACCCTCTATATGGGAACGTCGCTCCCCTCTCCTTTTGGAATCTTTTGTGTCTTCCTCCCTGATGTGCTGAAATCTCAAACATGCCCAGGCCTGGGTATTTGGTGTCACGTGGGCCAAATTCCTTCACCTGCTGCTCTCTTTGTTTTCCCCGGGGCCTCTCTTCTGGAACCTGATGGCCAAGCACTGATGGGGCCGCTGTGTCAATCTGCAAGATCCTTATGTTGTCTCTCCCCCTCTCCCTCTCAAGACTCTCACTTAATTTCTGGACGATGATGATGACTACTCTATTACCTTGGCTGTTTTTTTCAAATATAATTTTGTTCTTATTATTGAAATGTTATCTCTGCTCTCTTATTTCTGAAGATACTTTTTAATGTTTTTTTCCTATTCCCCCAAGTTCTGATTTTTCTTTATTTCTTATTTATTTTCTTTGTCCTGGGGGCTCCTTTTATTTTGGAAGCTTTCTTTAAAAGGCTTGTGATCCTTGGCTGATCATTTCTATTTAAGAACAAGGGATGAAAATGTCTAAAGAAGCTTGTTATGTGTGGGCTGGAGGCTTCACTATAAGACACTGGACAGAAATTGGGCTGTTTTACAGTGAAGCGCCAAATATGAGTATCTTTATTTCCTTTTGTTATAGGGCAGCCCCGATATTGAACGGGTTGCCTGGCTGTGGGTCCTCACCCACGCGCTTACAAGGGACTTATTAATACTCCACTACAGACACACACAAAAGGTTAATAAGGAGCAGCACCCACCGCTGGGGCAGACCGGGCGTGCAGGGGAGCGCGTCGCCGGCACCGGCATTTTGCAGCAGGGACCCTTCTTGCTGGAGACTGTGTGAACCCAGCAGAAGGCTCACCAAGGAGACAGAGGTTTAGCTGGGAGGCTTGCCCACACCGGGCACCTTCTAGCCTGCAGTTCCAGCCCAGAGGGGAGCAGCACCCACCACTGGGGCAGACCGGGCGTGCAGGGGAGCTGTTCCTGCATCGCCATTTTGCAGCAGGGATCTTTCTTGCTGGAGACTGTGTGAACCAGCAGAAGGCTCACCGAGGAGACAGAGGTAAGCTGGGAGGCTTGCCCATGCTGGGCGCCTTCTAGCCTGCAGTTCCAGCCCAGAGGGGAGCAGCACCCACCGCTGGGGCAGACCGGGCGTGCAGGGGAGCTCGTTCCCGCATCGCCATTTTGCAGCAGGGACCTTTCTTGCTGGAGACTGTGTGAACCCAGCAGAAGGCTCACCAAGGAGACAGAGGTAAGCTGGGAGGCTTGCCCATGCTGGGTGCCTTCTAGCCTGCAGTTCCAGCCCAGAGGGGAGCAGCACCCACCGCTGGGGCAGACCGGGCGTGCAGGGGAGCGCGTCGCCGGCACCGGCATTTTGCAGCAGGGACCCTTCTTGCTGAAGACTGTGTGAACCCAGCAGAAGGCTCACCAAGGAGACAGAGGTTTAGCTGGGAGGCTTGCCCACACCGGGCACCTTCTAGCCTGCAGTTCCAGCCCAGAGGAGAGCAGCACCCACCGCTGGGGCAGACCGGGCGTGCAGGGGAGCTGTTCCTGCATCGCCATTTTGCAGCAGGGATCTTTCTTGCTGGAGACTGTGTGAACCAGCAGAAGGCTCACCAAGGAGACAGAGGTAAGCTGGGAGGCTTGCCCATGCTGGGCGCCTTCTAGCCTGCAGTTCCAGCCCAGAGGGGAGCAGCACCCACCGCTGGGGCAGACCGGGAGTGCAGGGGAGCGCGTCGCCGGCACCGGCATTTTGCAGCAGGGACCCTTCTTGCTGGAGACTGTATGAACCCAGCAGAAGGCTCACCGAGGAGACAGAGGTTAAGCTGGGAGGCTTGCCCACACCGGGCACCTTCTAGCCTGCAGTTCCAGCCCAGAGGGGAGCAGCACCCACCGCTGGGGCAGACTGGGCGTGCAGGGGAGCTCGTTTCCGCATCGCCATTTTGCAGCAGGGACCTTTCTTGCTGGAGACTGTGTGAACCCAGCAGAAGGCTCACCAAGGAGACAGAGGTAAGCTGGGAGGCTTGCCCATGCCGGGCGCCTTCTAGCCTGCAGTTCCAGCCCAGAGGGGAGCAGCACCCACCGCTGGGGCAGACTGGGCGTGCAGGGGAGCTCGTTCCCGCATCGCCATTTTGCAGCAGGGACCTTTCTTGCTGGAGACTGTGTGAACCAGCAGAAGGCTCACCAAGGAGACAGAGGTAAGCTGGGAGGCTTGCCCATGCTGGGCGCCTTCTAGCCTGCAGTTCCAGCCCAGAGGGGAGCAGCACCCACCGCTGGGGCAGACCGGGCGTGCAGGGGAGCGCGTCACCAGCACCGGCATTTTGCAGCAGGGACCCTTCTTGCTGGAGACTGTGTGAACCCAGCAGAAGGCTCACCGAGGAGACAGGTTAAGCTGGGAGGCTTGCCCACACCGGGCACCTTCTAGCCTGCAGTTCCAGCCCAGAGGGGAGCAGCACCCACCGCTGGGGCAGACCGGGCGTGCAGGGGAGCGCGTCCCTGGCTCTGGCATTTTGCAGCAGGGACCCTTCTTGCTGGAGACTGTGTGAACCCAGCAGAAGGCTCACCGAGGAGACAGAGCAGGGACCTGTCTTTGCTGGAGACTTGTGAACCCAGCAGAAGTTCCCCAGAGGAGCCAGTGGTGAGCTGGGAAGGTCGCCCAAGATGCCGGCCAGTACCAGCAA